TTATATATGTTTGTTTGTGTTTGGTTTGTTGTTTAACGAAGCACACTCAACAATTCCAACTATATGAAAGCGGTTTATAAATAAGTCCACATAATCCTAGATCATAGTTTTTAGCCCGACTAAGGGCCAGACCAGACAATCCAGTGCTTGACATCGTTAGCATCGATTGGGATACGATGTAATTTCCGCCATCCGACGTAAGAACTTTCTCAAAGGCAAAGGTCAAATACGTAGTTTCCTTTGAAACGATGGAATCGATTCCATGAAACCACAGAAACCATTGTCAGATTTCTGACATATGTCATCTGCAATGAGTGTTTGTTGTTTTACGCCGCAATATTCCAGCAGTATTTTTGTTAAAAGCGGCGTTAAACCCAACTCACTCCCTCACTCACTCACTAAAGGTTGTCACGGCTAATTTGACCACAGACAAATACACCTTGTCACACCCGCAACACAAACGTCGTTTCTGTCAAAGATACAAAACCATAATTGTCTTATTTCCAACCAATTATATAACCGCATAACAATATTTGACGAGCAAATTAACCAGTTATGCAACGACTATCGATGTAGCACAACAATATCTGAGGTATGTTTATTCTAATAGGTATGTTGCTATTACCATCAACGCTGATGTGACAATGCATGGGCCCCATAAGTCACTTATAATTATCAGTTACACAACCTTCATCAGGTAAAGATTGTCGGATAAAGCTATATTCGTCAAAATCCGCGACAAATGAGAACCACACTCCATCTCATCAGTGACAGGAGGCGGGAGGTGTGTAAGTAACTAGGCCAATAATAAAACGACGTGACGTCACGTGTAAGAGATCCGAATGAAGACAACATATTACCGTCCATAAGGAATTGGGTTTTAAAGTAATTATGATTGATGTTCATAACATATTTGATATATCGCGTTTGAGGAAGAATTTGTTGGGCGGGTATCAATCATAAAGACAATGTTGGAGACATATTGCTTTAAGTTATGTTGAACACAATATGTGTTTAACTTTCATTCCGTTACTGTGTGATGAGTGAGTAGTTTTAACGCTGCTGTTGGACAGATTCTCTTTTAATCACATGGTTGTAGTTTAGTGCTGCAGTGAGTGAGTGAGTGAGTTGTGTTTAACGCCAGAACAGCTCTCCTGTTATATCCCGGCATGTCAGCTTAATGTGGAAGGAAAGCGCGAAGTGACGTCTATCGTTACCAGGTATAACCAGTTCGCGAATGCAGGATTTTGGCCAAACCGTGCCTTTTCGTGATCTTGCATTCTCGCTTTTTTGTCATATTTAGCTTATTTCCAAAGATGGAGATCGCGAGAGAATGCGAGAACGCGAGAATGGTCTTTACAGTATTCTACCTGAATATATTTCACCTTCTTCTTCTAAAGAGGCGACTAACGAGATCGGGTGCTCAGGCTCGATGATCACTTGGTTGATGTATGTCATCTTCTCCCAATTGCGTAGACGCTCATGACGTCAATCACTGCATTGTCTGGTCCCCACTCGATTATTTTTGGCAGCAGGAGGAATGTCTGACATGTGGCAGGACGCAGATGTTGACCATTCTGATGAAAGCAAGGAGGTTCCGAGGATCATAATCGTAGCGAAACTCGGACAAAAAGGCTTACAGTGACAATCCACGGAAAGTTACAATAGTTACAGGGCGAATTTGGTATTCGACCCACGGTCGCAACACGTCAGGGAAGTTTATCTTTGTAAACATATTCCACAAAATCGGAGAGACCAGTTCAGATCCACCCATTTGCTGCCGAACACTATCAAAGAGTTCGAGACAAATGTTGGTCTTGTGAACACAATAAACGGAAGTGTCAAAAACCAGTCAATTCCATTAACTGGAGATGTTGCTCCTGTAACAGACCCTAGACGCGTGTAGTGGGAGTAAGCAGGATATTGTTACACGTCATCGACAGGACACGTTATCTTTACTAAATCGATATGATATTGGTATTCTTCGAGGTTTCCAGTTGTGAGTTTTATCGTCAACCAATGTAGATAAAGTCAGATAGTGTACAACAGCTTGGTTACTCGTTCTAATATATACTCCAAATTTCAATCCAAAAATGTCATGTGACCTTTTTTGTGAACTGGACCATGAACGAATCAGAATGAGTGAATGTTGTTTAACGCCGCAGTCAGCAATATTCTCGGCACAAGGTGGCCCGGAAGGAATCTAGTCTGGATCAGACACGCCAGTGATACCACGATCAAAGTCCCATATCCTTAACTATATCGTTTAATGGCAACACAAGTTATTTTTATTCTTTTATGTATTTTTTATTTGAGCAATTCAATTTCATTTTATTAAGCTGGTAAATAACGTTGAATATTACCATTTCTTAAGTTGGGGTTAAAGGTTAGATGGTGCGAGGTAATGCAAATGATTTGTTGGGTTTCGATCAATGGCTGTCCAGGCATTGTTTATTTAAAATAATATGTAGTTCCAAAATAATTGCAGTAATTGTATATAATGTATGTGTCTTACCATTTGAAGATAATTAGATTTATTGTTTCAATAGGAAAACATTTTTTTATCAATTAAAATAAACGTTAAGTGAAGTGGATCAACAAAGGACACGCTCCCTTGAAAGAGCCTGGCCTTTACTGACGTTGAACCTGAGACTCAAGTGTCTGGTGTCCCCCGCCGTGATATTGCTGGAATATTAGTGAATACCATTCTCTTAAGGCATATTCCCGGGGCAAGGGAGTTAACTGACTGTAAAAGTCAATTTTCAACTCAATTAATTCCCTTGCTTCGGGAAGATGCTCTCAACTGTTACCGAGATTTTCGTTGAGCCTGTTTCATTTATCAACAGCTCAAGAATAAGCCCCATTGGCTTACTTCTGAATGTAATTATCAGTTGGACCAGCAAATATTCACAATTTTTGTTTGGTTGTTGCACACAGCGCAATATCCCAGCTATATGGCGGCGGTCTGTAAATAATCGAGTCTGGACCAGACAATCCAGTGATGTTAAAAGATGGTACTGGTTGTTACCCTGTCTGGCGCACGGCATTAAAGGGCCAGAACAAGGGCTGGTCGGATCGGAGTCAGTATACTGTGTCTGAGCGGGGTATTCATGTAAAACTGCGGCATGGTAGTGAGCTAGCACTAGCATTAGTCCGGACAAGTACAAGCAACCACACATACACACACAAGCATTCACGTCGCTATATAAGCGCACTAATCTTGGACGCGACGCTAAACCCAATTACACCTCAACCCTACGTGTCACCCCTTGCAACAAGCATGGGTTGCTGAAGACAAGTTCTAACCCTGAATCTTCACTGGATCAATTATTCACAATGCTCGTGGCATAGTTCGACCTGATGCGAGAATACATGAGAATAGAGAGATTTAATCTTCACTTATATGTCATATATACAGGATGCATGTTATGTTTCTGAGAGATACGTAATGCTTTTGAAGGCTTTTTCTAGAGTTTCTTTAATATTTATTTTTTTAAATTTTGTTTCATGCCACTCTAGGCAACATTCCAGCTATGTGACGCAGGTCTATAAATAATCGAGTCTGAATCAGATAAACTAGTGATTGATATTATGAGCAGCGATCCATGACGTCAAGGTACAATGACGCACAATCAACCAAGTCACCTGACCTTCCGATCCATTTAGTCGCCTCATACGACCAGCATAGGTTGTTGGGGAGCTATTCTATCCCAGGGCATTTCAATACCTGTAATATATATGTGGGTACGGGGTACCACAGAAATATATAGTCCTGTTCTTGATTACGTCCAATGTCAACTGTTTGAATGGAAACCACTTTACAAAAACAGAATGCGACTAACTATGGGTACCTAAAACACCACAATTCATTTAGCTATGCCCCTTACCTTCCAAGGCGGTGAGTTCGAATCCCAGATTGGTCCCTATTATTACCCTTGGTTTGAGAGCACCATATTCCTTCTCATGGTTGATACCAACAGTTGTAAATATTGTCTCAATGCAGCATTAAGCCACAAATCATCCAATATGTCTTTCACATCCGTGGACGGACACCTTGTGCACATGACCCGTGAAAAACCGGGGTAGAATAGGTCTTCAGCAACCCATGTTTGTCGTAAAAAGCAACATGCTTGTCACAAGAGGCATGTCATCGTATCCCAATTGCGTGGATCGATGCTCATGATATCAATCACTGGATTGTCTGGTCCAGACTCGATTATTTAGAAACCACCATCATATAGCTTGAATATTGTTGAGTGCGGTGTTAAACAACAAACAAAAGCTTGTGCACATGACCAAAGAGGTTGATACCCTCTGTTTGCCGACACGGTAAGTCATCTGTGGGGTGACTCCTCCTCCTGCCACATACATTTGTAGGTCTTGAGAGTTGTCTGATAGGTAAAAATATCTTAGGCTCTTCAAAACAATTTTATTTCATAGATTTCATACAAGCGCACACTATATAGAAAGCGAAATAAAGAATGTCGCTGACCTAGGCCGTAACCTTCACGAAATACACTGGAAACAAGAATCGAGAGCTCTTCCATAGATCTAACACCTCGTGTGTTTATTGTAACTATTCACGAGTGTACTTCTGGTAATAAATGTAATGTAACACCAGCCAAGGAATTTGACATCTTCCCGAGGCAAGGGCGTTAACTGAACAATTTCCACGTTGCAACTGGACTTTTATTGTCAGTTAACTCCCTTGCCTCGGGAAGAAGAGAATTTGACAGAGGTCATCGCAGTTGGTCATGCTACTTACTAGTATATATAAGGTAAACAGGCATACATTCACAAGCCCCTGGAAGAAAAGCAACATTTCCAAGCTTAGAGGGAAGGTGGAAAAACTGTCCAGAAATAGCTTACAGGTCTGAAAACCTTTACGCTCTGTGTCCAAGAAATAGCTCGCCTCTTCAAGCCTTTCCACAACCCTTCAGACAATTCAATAACTTTCCAAACAGAATTAGAACAGAATTAGGGTTACAAGTTAATAAACGAAAATGACCGTCTGGCACATCTACCATTAGCATCGACACACGACTACTGACGCTGCAAATATGTCTTCAGGGATGTTATTCTAGGTCCAAGGCCTGTCAAACGTGGACCTTGGTCTTCTACTCCTAGTGCTTATGTTTAAGCAGCATTTCCCAGTCCAGCGTGCCAGTCCTCGCGATTGTACAGCATGCGTTTCCATATCCAGTCTGTCCGCCCTTCTTTTTGGTGCCCATTGGTGCTCGCCCAAGGTGGTCTGCGGTCTCATGGATCTGAGAGACAGGTGAATCAGTTGAAATTTAATTACAGTAAACTACGGTTATATCGAACACACTTATAACGAACTGACGGATATAACGAACTTACATTTTTGGTCCCGATTATTTGCTGTAGTTATGCTGTATATATGCTTATAACGAACTACGGTTATAACGAACTAAAATAAGCAGCCCCTTTAAGTTCGTTATAACCGTAGTTTACTGTATATACTGTATATAATTAAAATAAGTTATATCACGACGTTTCAGCTTCAAATGGAACGTTACCACTTTGGTAACAAAACAAGAACCATTACCAAGGCGGAAATCAAACCAGGATCATTAGATTCTGGCAGGCCTAAGGGACGCCACTATGCAGAGCGAATTGTAGAACCTTAGACGACTGGGCCACTCGTGCCTCCGAGCAAAAATATAAACATGGGGCACGTATGATGTGTTTCTATACATGAAGGGGCGGTCGGGTAGCCTAGTGGTTAAAGCGTTCGCTCGTCACGCCGAAGACCCGGGTTTGATTCCCGACATGGGTACAATGTGTGAAGCCCATTTCTGGTGTCCCCCGCCGTAATATTGCTGGAATATTGCTAAAAGCGGCGTACAACCATACTCACTCACTCTATGCATGAAAGGTGAGATAATGTTAAACATGCACAACATCACGAATCATAATTTAAGGCGTGGGTGAGGCAATAATGTTTTACTCCCTCTACATCAATATTATGCAGATAAAAGTGATCAAGCTCAAATCTGGGACAGGTAAACCAATGGAGGATAGCATGAGCAACGACCCACGCTTTCGGGAAACGATGATGCAGTCCATCACCCGATCTTCACTTTAGATTTTTTACACTGAGGATAGGGTACTGGCGATATTTCTACCTAGGAATTACACCTATTGATTATTATTCAATGATATTCTAACCAGAGAGCTATACCTACCACAAGGCCTCTGCCGATGATGGAGTGGGGTCCGTAGAGGTCGCAGTACTTATCTGTCATGTTCATGTGTACCTCCCCTGCGTCATTACAAGAAATGTTTCCCCAATCACCGGCATGTCTGTAAAAGCATCCAATAGAAGTGAATGAGTGAGTGATTGACTTAACATTGGGTAAGGTCAATTTCCAGTAATCTAGTTAATCACGGGTGTCAAATAATCGAGCCTGACTAAGAGGCAAACCTGTCGTAAAAAATCTGTTTTTGTGTTCCTAAGATACTGTAGCTTTAAAATATAATAAGATGTGATTTTTCACCATCAAGGTCCTTTATTTCATGGTTGGTCGCAAATGTTGAAAACAAAGAAGGGACGGTGCTGAACTTAATTCCAAGAATATACTGAACCACAAAAGAAACGTCCCCATGGAAAGATATATGGGAAAACATACTCTGAGACATATTAAAAAGATGAAACTTGGCAAAACTGATCTTCATGGTTGAAATGAAAGTGTCAAATGTTCTTAAAGTGAAACACACCACTAATCTCTGAGAAAATGGCATCACAAGTCAGTATCTCGTATGTCCGCCATGTGCATTGATGACTGCCATGCAACGTCGATACATGGAATGAATGAGGCGGTTGATGAAGGCCATAGGCACTTGAGCCCACACTCTGAGATACGCCTGACGCAGTTCAGCTGCAGTTGTCGGCCCTGGTCGGACGTCATTCAGCCGTCTTTGTATCTCGTCCCGCAGGTGCTCAATGGCATTTAAATCGGCACTGAGGGCAGGCCACTGCATGGTTCTGATGCCATTCTGTTGGAGGAAGTCTCTTGTTGCTCTCGCAGTGTGGGTACGGGCGTTATCATGCTGAAACTCATGGTTGCGGCGACGTGCCAAATGAAGTATGGCGTGTGGTCTCAAGACTTGATCAATATACCAGGCTGCTGTGACAACATTGCCTCTCCCTGGACCGATGTTCTGGAAAACCACAGGGCCGACCCCCTGTGCAAGGCCCATTCCACCCCACACCATCATGCTCGGACCACCCCAGGAGTCTCTCTCAACAACACAAGCATCCGAATAACGTTTCCCACGGCGTCGCCAGACTCTCCCTCTGCCATCTGCTGTTGAGATACAGTAACGGCTATCGTCTGAGAAGAGGACTCTTCTCCACGGCTGGTGGCGCCAATGCTGGTGCTGTGTTGCCCACTGAAGACGGTCCCGGCGACGACGTGGTGTCGGAATTGGTCCTCGTTGCGCCCTGTGACAGTGGAGGTGTCTGCTCGTCAATCGTCGACGCACGGTGTCCGCACTTATGTGTCGCTGGTGTGTCCCCATGGTCTGTCGAGCAGTTTCCGCAGGCGTAACAAAGCGATCTTGAAGATGCTTTCGCACAATCTGACGATCCTGACGGTGGTGACCCTTGGTCTTCCACTACGTAGTCGGTCATCTGTAATGCTGGTGGTCTGGTACCGTTGCTGGAGCCTGTATATGGTCCTTATGTGACATGAAATGCGTTGGCTACTTGCCGGACGGTTTGTCCAGCTTGCAATCGCCCAAGGGCTTGGTGTCGCTGAGTTCTAGTCAATCTTGGCATGTGATGGCAATTCAATAACGAATGAATGTTATCCGATCTGGGTGGATTTTTATAGGGCAAGAGTTGGGAACACATGTGCTTTTCAATATGCACGGAACTCATGTGCATCGGGTTTGGGCGATCGGTTTTATTGTCATCTGCTTTGTTTTTTATCATCAAATTTCATTTCTCCGGACAAGGTAATGTTAAATTTTAGAAACTTTGACAAAAATTACCTAGATATTTAAATGACAACTTGTCATGCAATGTTACTTGGGGTGACGTTTCTTTTGCGGTTCAGTATATATTTGAGTATTTCTCGTTTTCGATCCATACTCGAAGCTTCCTTGATACATAACGTTTCATTTTCACTCCACATCTGTGAAATACTGAATGGGCGGATCCGTATAACAAAATTATTAATAGTTCGGTTGTTCTGTGACCACAGGAGGTGAATAATGAATTCGAATTTAAACAAGATCGCTTTCACAAAACATTGCCCTAACACAAAGCTAACTTAGGCACATTCCTGCATAAAAATTCTTGAAAATGGTGTGTTCGTTATTGTATATGCCCTAAAGTTCCAAACCTAGGGTCACCCTCATCTGCAGATTCTGCAGAACGGCCACCTACCTTTTTTCTGAATCGTGACCCCCGTGATCGCCACCGTCGGGGTTGTAGTGGCCGCCGGATGACGTACAGCCGGCGCTAAAGTCGCCAAATTCATGCACGTGGAATCCATGCATATGAACAGAATGGTCAGAATGGCCGCTTGGTACGTAGAATCCCCGCAGTTCAAGCAGTATCTCCAGTGGCCCGCGAACCTGCAGGAGAAAACAAACAAGCATTGCAACAATATAAGCTAGACTGATAAACACATTATATGGACACAAGAAACATACTTATAACACCCAGGGCCCAAACCATTTACCTAAAAGTAGTATGGGTGAAAATGCGTTTTGTCAAAAGTTCTAAACCAGAAAACACGATCGATTTCTAACACGTTCTTAAAATAGTAACAGAGACGATCGTGTTTTCCGGTTCACAACTTGGATTGTTATATGTGTGAAACGTCCTTTACCTTGTGCTTCAGAGTGTTATCGATTTGATGAAGTTTAACGCCGCATTGAAAAGTTTTTCAGTAATACGACTTTTTCATTTTTCTATTTGTGACAGCCAAACCAGTGGTTGACAGCATGACAACGATCCACGCTGACGACATATAGACGACACGCACTGTAACCAACTTAGCCATGAATATTCGGGTTAGAATAGGTCTTCAGCAATCATGCTTAGCGTAAAAGGCGACTATGTTGTCGTAAGAGGCAACTAAGGGGATCGGGTGGTCAGGCTCGCTGACTTGGTTGATGCATGTCATCCTACCCCTAATGCGTGGATCGATGCTTATGATGTCAATCACTGGATTGTCTGGTCAAGCAGGATTATTTACAGATACTGTCATAGAGCTAGAATATTGTTAAGTGCGCTAAACAACAAAAACAAACTATAACCAACTGGTTCGTACGACAAGCACGCGACATGGTCGAGATACTGTAGATGCGAAAAGTAGCTACGTAAGTACTACGCCGCTTTTACAATCTACTGCTATGTGATAGATAACTCGTATCCTTCATACAGCTACGGTCTTCATCAATGCAGTAAACGTCTGAGGCCTGCATCACTTTGGGATTTCGTCCCACATTTAGCTGACACGACGTGATATAATTGGCATACAGTCTGAAGCGGCGATAAGTCCAACTCACTCACTCCCACAGTAACGATCCGACAGGGACCGATGCTGATTTTAGTACAGGCCTTTATAAGTCTCACCAAGAGTGCAAATTAATAAATGTTTTTACACCCTTAATGTCAAATCATTTACCTACAACTACGCCCATTGAAAATGCATTTTCATAAACGTTATGAACCGGTAAACACGACTAAGTCAAAATTTATCACACGTGGAAAAGAAATCGCCACGAATACCTCGAATATTGATGATGCGGCGTTTAACAATATTCACTTATGCGCTTACTTACAAAATAGTAAAAATAGCTCACTTTATTTCACAGGTTGTCATAATAGAGCAATAGTATTACTTCTGACGTAACAATTATCTACGACCATGAAGTGTCTGTAATATGATACTCCGAATAATAAAGTTAACTTACCTTTTGCCTTAAGTAGACTGCGCCAGTAATATTGTTGCGTGGCCCGGATTTAGAAGGTTCATTGCCCATAGCCATGTTACATCGACCATATATATAGGCTGAAACACAAAGGCGTCATAAGACACACGTGCGGGACTTCCTACAGATAAATATGTTAATGAAGATATCAGTCATAACTGTCAACGGTTAGTTGTTCAATCGGCCATCTTGCCCCGAAAAGAACGGCAAGGAAGACTCGGCTGCGAAATGGCAACTTGTCCCCAAACAGAAAACAGGCCTCCGCCTGAACAAGTGAGAATGCACTTTAGTTGCATGTAAACTGTGTTCAATTTTCATCTGTTTTATAAAATGATGGTTACTTATTTAAAAGGGTTTTTATCCTAAATATAATCAAAATATATTTCAAGTGGTATAAAACAACAATGTTTTGAAAACATAGTTCCGACAAAATGACTGTGGGTACCTGTACTTGTGTGATCTCTTTTTTATGCAAACGGCTGCTTTTGTCACATACTTACACCATGCAATGTAGTGATATATTGCTATTCATTATCAATTACCACTTCCAGAATAGTTTTTTTATGCGGCATTTTCGTCTCAAAAAATTGTTAATGGCTGTCGGCTGCAAGTTCGGATGTTTACATCACGTCACTCTGATGTCAACGGGTCAAATATAATCCCGGTTTACATTCACACCAACTCGTGATATTCCGGCAGGTAACGGAACGAGGCGAGTGGTAACGAATGTCCCGGTTGACTGACGGCTTCGCGTCACCTCAGAGGTCTCTTTTCCTATGTCCGATCGTCGGCCAGCGTGTGAGTTATTGTGGATTCTACGAACGTTTTAAGCATCATTGATTTAAAACTAATATACCATGAACCCAAAGCTTAGGTGAGGTGAAATGGTGTTTAACGTCGCGTCCAAGATTATTGCACTTATATAGCGACATGCATGATTACATGTGTGTGTGGCTGCTTGTACTAGTCCGGACTTATGCCGATTAACAGTGCTAGCTCACTGTGATATCATGCCGCAGTTTAACATGAATACCCCACTCAGACACAGTATACTGACTCCGAGTCGACCAGTCCTTGTTTTAGACCCTTTTAGCCGAGCACCAGACAGGGTAACAACAAGTACCATCTTTTAAAGTCCTATGACGCGGCCTGGAATCGAACCCAAGACCTTCCGCTCTCCGAGTGGATGCTCTGCCACTAGAACACGGAGGCGACCCCCAAACCATAACATATTGTTAGGATGTCAAAAGGTACACTCTAACGTATTACATTGTCGAGACCTGATGACGTTTAGTAGTATGGCTATAGATGAACCATTCAAAATGATAAAAACTTACCGTTTCGTTTTCTTCCCCGACATCCCCTGTGATGGTCACGATGACCATGACCTTCGTGGCTACCATGATGACCATGACCTTCATGACCTTCGTGGCTACCATGGTGATCATGACCTTCGTGGCTGTCGTTATGAGCATGACTTTCGTCGCTTTCTTCATGACTTTCGTGGCTACCATGGTGATACTCCTCGTCACAGTCGTCCTCGTAATGGTCGTCATGACCACCATGATGGTCGTCCATATGCAGATGTATATGCACGTGCGTCCCATCCTGACCTGCATGCGTTTCTGCATGGTCATCCCCCATTCCGTGCACGTGGACCATTACACGTGATTCCAGTTTCTTGTGCATTTCTGTCCACAGACTGGAGATGTTCTTCTTTAGTGACTGAAGTGCTGCTAAAATTACAAATGCATATTTTTAATTATATTTTACACACCCTCTCGTTTCTGAGCGCCATATCATGGTGTACTAGCATATCGAGGGCATATTTGATCTTTTGTTGGGATTAAAATTGTCGAATCAAGGTGGTACAGAAATGACAACTAATTGACTGAAATACCCACGCATATTCATTCAGATAGGCCATCCTTCTATAGAGGTGTCGCCAGATGTTGCGCAGAGAGTTGTCGTATCGGAGTAAAAGAATTGATTTCAAAGAGATCGCAGGAATACAATTTTCTGTTTGGCTTTGCTCAATCACGAACTGTTACGTCATATCTACTGCGTCACAATGATTGACATTTTTGCCTGAAGAAACTTATGACGTCATTCCACGGCATTCGTGGTCAATGAATAGTAGTAGTAGTAGTAGTAGTAGTAGTAGTAGTAGTAGTAGTAGTAGTAAAATGTTTATAAAAGTGTCACACGCACAACATGTACAATATAAAATCGATGCACATAAGATAAAAGGTGCATGGAGTGCGTCCAGCCAGACATTGGCTTATGAGACACTATACACAATATAAACAAAGTATATTCATAATAATTATATATATATAATGTGAGAGGTGGGAAATTTAGCTACGAATCAGAAGTCTCACGGGAAACAATAACAAACTCCTCGATTCAACAACGAAGAAAAAGAAAGGATAGGTAGAGAGAGAGGTAATTTTATAATCATGGTGACGACTGTCGTCTCTTAAACATTTTAAAAATCGGTGCGGCAAGAAATTTTGTAAAACGTTTGAATTCATTGAGTAAATAAATTTCTCTTCTTCGCATATCACATTAAATTTCGGTTGTTTTCTTCAGCTGCACAATATAAATCATGCCGTAAATCTTCATAAAAACTGCATTGTAGTAAAATATGACATAATGATTCGTCTTCCACCAAATCACAATTCCAATATTTATATAACCTCTCCGATAGCGATATAAGAGGCTTGGAATATCTGCCTTTCTCCACAAACAAAGGTAAAATTCCACGTCTTAACTTGGCTAAAATACGGCGGTGGTCTCTATACAAAATATTTTTAACATAGAAATCAACAGAAGGTGTACACTTATATTTCCTGCAGGTACGTAACTTATTTCCATTCACATTACCCGTATCATTCCAAAGTGATTTCAAGTAAGTGAAAACAATTATACTCGTTCAAAAGGTTCATTATTTTACTATACCAAGATGTGGTAAAACATCCTGACCATCGGTGAATAATATTAGGCAGGCGCTCTTGCTGCATAGATTTAAGGCTGAAAAGATATCTGAAACATTCTGAGTAACCCAAACTGAGCACCAGCCCATACCCCCTCTACTTGCAAGAACAGGAGCATGTATATTTAAACCAAGAAGCATCCTGGCAGCCTTATTTTGCACAACCGCAACTTCTTTAACACTATGTAAGCCCCATATACTGGCACCATAAAACAAAACTGGTTCAACCAGCGATTTATACAACTTTGTAAAAACATCATTCGACATTCCACCAGCATAGATCACGGTCTTGTGCATGTCTAAGTACATGTATTCGTTTAAACACAATCCTAGATAACGATAAGCGCTGTCATAAGAAATGTGAGTATTGCCACACGAAAACTGATAACAAAATCTTACAACAGATTTCTTTCGAAAATGGACTATTTGGGTTTTGTCATCATTAATGCTAATACGCCATTTTAAACACCAAGTACTTGCAATATCTAACATATTTTGGAGATATGTGTCATTTGGAGCTAACAACGCAATATCCTCAGCGTATAACAAAATGGATAACATTTCGTTATCCAATGGTACACCCCATCTGAGGTTCGTTATCTCTGTGGCTAGATCATTTATATATAGAAAATAGAGTTGGTGACAATTTGCAACCTTGCTTAACACCCTTGGAAACATTAAAATAATCTGTGATATAGTCATTCACGCGTACTGCACATCTCACATCTTGATATAGGACTTGAACAGCTTTCAACATCTTCCCTTGTACTCCAACAGACAAGTTTATACCATAGACAATTGCGGTCTACAATGTCAAATACTTTCTTTCTGTCTATAAAACAAAAATAGGTTGATATATAGTCCAGCAGATTTCCTATCATTTTATAAAGTACACAAATAGTCGATACAGTTTCTGTTTCAACCATTTTGTTCCTGAGACAATATTTTGTTCTTCTGAAGCCTGTTCCTGATATTATTGTTCAAAACGCCTGCACATATTTTACACGGTAAAGAGGGAGACAGTGCCTACGCGCCGGTTCATCACAAGCGAAATGCGGCTTGAACTGGTTGCAGCCTGAATAGGCTACACTGCGATCATTTACCGCTGAAAGCCATTGTTAATCAAATTCGGTACATATATATGAGGGAAGTAATCGCTTAGTAGTCAAAACATGGCGTAAGATGTAAAACAGTGAAATAATAAAAAAACATATTGTTCATATTGTATTTAAAATGCCTGTTTGATTAAACATTTGGGGAAATTGTTTTATTGTAAATTTAATTTGAACAAAGAGTTTGCCGCCGTGTTGATGCCTCGCATCAAAGTTTTCTTGTAACAGTTAAGCGTACTTTTGAACAAAATTTTGCAAGGGGAGCGTATTATTCTCTGGGGTGTATCATTTGAAAAATGCTTACAGGTTATCCGCGCTGGGGAATTGTATTGCCCCACATAAACCAAAGATAAGTATTGTGGTAAAAAGATGTCATAATGGTTTGAGTGAGTGAGTATGTTTTTACGCCGCTTTTAGCAATATTCCAGCAATATCGCGGCGGGGGACACCAGAAATGGGCTTCACACATTGTACCCATGTGGGGAATCGAACCCGGGTCTTCGGCGTGACGAGCAAACGCTTTAACAACTAGGCTACCCGACCGCCCCCATCATGGTTTGAGAATATGAAAGCGAAACTATGCTGAATAAAACCGATCATCATTGATCCCTAAATTCATATGCCTCACTCGATGCAATTTACTCATCAATTCCGTTATAACACATTATTTTCTCATTTTGTCGTGGTTGAATGGAAATAACCCACTGTGGGATCAATTTAGAGTCTTCGAGGTAAGAACAGAGATTTAACGTTTCCCAACAATGATATAATGTGTGTAAAACATGACAGACCAGAGTTATCTAGCTCTACATTAAAACAAACAGCACGTGTACCTCCCCGTCATGACCAATCCTAAATATGCTTGTTCAGTTTCATTTGTACATACCTGCATCACCAGATTCCGGTTTCTGGAGCATCCTTCTTTTTGTGTTCTTTGCATCAGTCTCCATCATCACCCCTAGGAACACCACTACACTGAGAATAACAAACAACTTCCACATATTGCACAAGACAATATTTTCCAAAATCAAAACCCAAAGCTCGATCAAGAATGTCTCCAAGCAGTTGTTTATGTGCCAGATGCGTTGGTCAGCACACCACACTGTCCTATGACACTGACTAGCTAGCCTTTATGGTCAGGTCAAATGAAGAACAAAACACCCCGTGTCAGCAAACGTCCACCACCGAGTCTGGTGACTGTAACTAATATATCATGCCTATATACTTGTTATCAGCTGTTAAGATAAAGCCCCTGTTGATTACAGCCAATTAGAAATGATAAAATGGTCTTGCCATTGTTCGTAATGTACTGCGCTTGTTGTTTTCACCTGATATGGTCATCTGTATAATTGTGTGTGTTTATCGTTACCGTCCCGTGCAGATTTTTTTTTTTAATGTCCTTTTATAGCCAACAACTCGCCCAGCTGAATGTATATATAATCTCTTTGATAAAAATGAACGAATTTCCAGAAATGTCCTCGCAGTATGCTTCATATCGAAGAATATATTTTTCCGTCTTCTAATATCCGCTTTTTTCTGCCGTTTAAGCTCCCAACACCAACTCAGCTTAATAACAATTCATCGAGTTTAAAAGCACATGCATCTTTAAATTGAAGTTTGATATCAGCATCTTTCTTTAGTGTTTTGGAGTTGAGTTATTTTTTTCCAAAATAGAAAGATGCTCATTTATTTTTAAATTATTTTTTTTAAAATAAACTGAAGATCATAAAAAAATATACCGACCAGTTTTTCAAAATAATAAAAAAGCACATGTTCATTGAATTCTGGTATTACGAAAGTATAATTATATCATCGTTCCAAAATACCTCATCATTTTATTCTATTTATTTTAATAATTTTGGCTTTAGATGATAGTGCTAAATAACCTATTTTGTGAATATTACTTAATAATTTGTGAACTAAAAGTATATCTCAGTCGAAGTTGATATATATACGCCTGCATTAATTCCCAGGTTTTATGTTAATACGCGCTAAGTGTTAAGCGTTAAGACTACATGCATCTTCCGTCCTAAGTCTATATCAGTCAGTGTTGATATCCGCCTGTCTTCATTCCCAAGTCTTACTTGATTAGCGTTATTTGCTAATCGTTTAGACTACATGTCCGGAGAGGCAAGTAAATATTACTCTATGATAACAAGTTCTCCGAGAAAACTGTTATGTAATCTTAGTCATTTCTCCATACTCATGTCTTTCAAAACTGCGCTGTAATCTCTAAATTCAGATAGTTAGCACGGTAGATTAGCAACATGGTAATCATTGTTTAGATAAGTGACAATTGAACATGCGACCATATCATAATGTACACAAACTGTTGACTTCCTTTTTACGTTAGTTTCACACTGACAGGGCAAACTGATGGTTATATTTGGAGTTAATATCGCTTCTTACCGTTTGTTATTCTCTTGAAAATGTTTCGTTATAAACTGTAAATTTCTCATTTAACACGTCAATCGAGACTGGTCGTTTCGCAAAGCGCCATTTTGGTTACTTGACCAGCGTGTATTCCTTAGCTTCCAACAGCGATCTCGTAGCTTTCAAGAATATCTTTTTTAAGTTAAGATTGTATATTATCATATATATGATAAAAAAATTAAGTGACCTCAAATTATTTTAGTGCTTTTTATTTTTTAAGATTTTTCAAACGCGGAACTACTTTTTAAGTCGCAATTATCATGGGTGGTGAAATGTCACTGATGAGATACACCGAATACAGACAGGCTACTAATAGATGCTTCTCTTGGTTATTTTAAGTTGTACGTCCTAAGCTAATTCACCGACAACAAATTCTAGTATTATTTTCAACCCAGACCTTACATAAACCTTTTAAGGCAATACAGGTCATAATGTTCATTATAATCAAATGACGTGTTTTAAACTCTGAAAAACACACTATTGACCATCATGTGTCGCCACTACATATCCCACACAGCACAGTGTCCCGTTGAAACAAGATCCCGCGGTTGCGCTGCAAGAACGGTAACACGACGAGACGGGACACGATGTCGATGTAAGCAGCTGCAGGTGTGTCCTCTGTCGGACACATATCCCACCCCAAACCATCACACTGCCACCGCGAAACGGAACAGACTCCTGATTTCAACAAGGAGCCGTTCTTTCTCCCACACGTCAGTAGATAAGTGTTCTCTATCGTCGGCTCTCTCTCTCTCTCTCTCTCTCTCTCTCTCTCTCTCTCTCTCTCTCTCTCTCTCTCTCTCTCTCTCTCTCTCTCTCTCTCTCTCTCGCCAGTGTTAAGGGTAGGATCTGCACCCAACCACGTATTCCCAAATACTTGCCGCTTAGGGGTCTCAGCAATCAACATTCCCTCTCCTTCCCTATCTCTCTCTCTCTCTCTCTCTCTCTCTCTCTCTCTCTCTCTCTCTCTCTCTCTCTCTCTTCTCTCTCTCTCTCTCTCTGAGTGGTAAATATCTCGGTTGTTGTCATGAAGAACATGTGATTGAAGTATATAACTCAATTATTCAATGGGATGAAAAAATACCCTGAGATCTTAGAAATATTTCTAACTGTATTTTGAAGGAAGCGTTAAAACTGCCCCGTAGGCTTAGTAAATGAATGATGACCTTAAAGCGGCTCTCAATGAAAGAGAGCCGTTTATTGATCGTGTCGCGTACTCGTTGGTAGCAGTTTTCAGTATTTCAACATGAAACTGTTCCTGATAGATGATCTTTTGGGGCCGTTTAGACCATGTCGCTGGATCTGGAAATGAGCTGCAGCGTTTCTCTGTGACACTTACAAGACTACTGCTTCTCACCTTAACCGCTTCTCCATCCATTCATGTCATTTGTGTTGCAACCGTTCGTTTCAAACGCCTTTACTTTCCAAAATAGAGAATTATTTCTCTGCCCTTTGTGTCCTTGTTAAACCACTTCGCCGGAGTGTATGAATCCTATGAAAAGAAAAATATATTTATAGAAGTCAAAGTGATGAAGCAAACATGAATCACTTTAATGATTAAAGGATAAAATGTCTTTTTTTAACAGCTTATGCTACTCTTTTCGTTAAGCCATTGAGAATGATCGCAAACATCAACAAACGCTGTGAATGTTGGCAGCACGATTATGCCGAAGGATAATCCGTTTCTTTTAGTCTCAAAGGTCATTTGAAAGGGAATAAAACATATGCTCAAATCATATCGATTTATGCGAGGGCGATATCAGTTTAGAATTATGTCCGTTTCACAGGGTGATTCTGGCGGTCCTCTGTCCTGTCGGTACCATGGCAAGTTCTACCTGACCGGGGTCGTCTCCTGGGGGACGCAGAACTGACGTCAGCGGTTACCCCAGCGTCTTCACGCGTATCAATGCCTACCACGACTGGATCCAGAATGTCATGGAAGAAAACAGTGGGTGAAAGACACCAATGCCATCGGTGTCACCGTCCATGGAGACCACACCATAGATACTGAAGAAAGTCTCCGTGAAGAATTCAGAACGGCTTGAGTTTGGGATATTCTACAAATGATTCGTTGGCATCTATGGGACACAAAGTCACATTACAGCAAAATAACATCACAGAGTTAAAATATTTTTACAAACGAAATATATATAAATTATATAAACGTAGGACTGTCGTGGAAATCACTTGACAGAATACTTGAGTTCAGTGCCAGATGGGAGAGTTTAATTTGGCAATGCCGTTATATTTTTCAATTTTTAATTATTTTTAAGTGACATGAGCATAATACATGTTTGCTAAAGTTCAACACGTCTATAAGTATAAAACTATACTTTGTGTTAACTGGTTTTGTTATCGTATGATATTAAAAAACATAGAAATGCATACCCATGTACGATGATCGGATATGACTGAGTTGGAACTGTACCTGACAATGCTTCAAAGCTGATAATGCATGGGCGATATATTCATGTAATATGTTCGTTATCTTTGTGATATATACAGAACAAAAACTGTTAGGGATCATGAATTATTTTGGTGGATTTCAGTAGTGAAGACTGATCATACAATTTCATGAACATATCCTCAAAAAGATTTAGGATCCCTAACGTTTTGTTCAGTATATATGCGAAGGATACAACTGTTTCTACGACAATTTTAAAGACGTTAAAATCTTTGAAATGATTTGTATAAGATCTCATAGATAGCTTTATTTGGTTTTCTTTATGCTACGATATCTAAGGTATGAGGTATATGCCTTTTGCCAGCTCACCATGTATTCCTCACAATAACCGATGATTCGCTTTCAAATAAACATTATTCACGAAACGTCGGTTTATTCTGATTAGGACATTCGTCATCAAATGGAGCAGTATAAAATAAACAATATGTATTAAAAAAGTAAATTTGATCAATATAAACTTACCCTCTACTTGAAGTATGTTTTTCTCCTCTTCCTGAAGTATGTTTTTTTTCAGGGGATATAGACGGTTATACAAATGATAATTTTGTATATATTTTTGGTTCCTGTTCAAAAATCAACTGGGCTCATTAGAAAATCGCGTCATGCTAACAAGGGGATAATGTAATATTTGATGACCAAGGAAATTATACATATTTAGATTATATTATTATGTTCAAGATTGTTTATACACAAATATTAACCAAGGTTATCTTGTTTGTCATTTTCGGAGTTATGCTATGAAACATTGTAAATTTGAATTGTGCACGGGGGACCGCTGTGTACAGTTGCCTCCCTGAGGCACGCCAGGAACCTATGATCGTGGGTTCGAATCCCGGTTCGCCCTGATTATGTTTCTAGGTTTGTCAGCATCATACCTGTGCTCGTGGGTTTCACCGAAGTGGTAAACGGCATGACCTGCATCACTTCGGGTTTTCCTCATACCTTAAGCTGACACGCCGTGATATAACTGGAATACTGTTTCATGCGGCGTAAAAAAAACCTCACTCTCTCCCTGAGTTTGAAAGTGGCTGATCAGCGTGAGATATGTATTCCTTATGGAACATTACTTACAAACATACCCGTCGTTACAGATTCGTGACAATCGTGGTATGTATTTTCTGCAATGGTGTATATAGTTTTAAAGAAGCAGCTAATTTATTGACGTCAAGAGCCAGAATACGATGTGGTATTTGTGAACATTCCAGTATTCTACCAATAGGCAAAGACGGGTGAAACCTTATGGTATTTAGCAATTATTTATTGGACGAACGTTACGTACATGTTCGTGGCTAGAC